TTGAGGTGTTGGTCTTACACTAAACACAAGGTCTACTTAAACAGTAATAACCCATACTTAGTGAAGCTTACTGAATGCACACATGTGCAAATTAGGCTTACGTAAATCTCTAAGCAGCATTAGTATTAGCTGTTCAGACGTGTTAATGACGACAACATGAATTGCACACATCAGAAATAAGATTAAAAGCATAAAATCACACATGATTAAAGAACTATTTTCTTACTGATAATAACTGCCTCATCTGTATCTGTTTAGTGAAAAAAAAAATTGACTACGAAAATTATGGAAAAAACACTGTATAAAAATTAGTAACATACCAATTTCCCTTATATTTTTTTATTCTTTTTCAATTGACCTTAACAGTGAAGTAGAAAACTTTTACATAAGGTAAAAACCTATGCTAACTTGTTAAGCTCAGATCACTGAAAGAATTGTGTGTGTGTTTTACTTTACATATAGTGACGTTGAAACAGACGGAACTTAGTGGAGACTGAAGTTACGTTTCTCTCTCTACACCCATGAAACAGCGTATTACTTTCTTCTCACCTAATATTGGCTCCTCTGCCTCAGTGTTCCTTTCACTTCCAAAACTCGACACTTTCGATCAGTCCCCATAACACTCAGACCGACTTACTTCTGGGGTTTTCTAATATCATTCCCGTAGTCCCCCACACCTTTAGTACTGGTCACCCTGAAGGCTCTGTCCCTTTTTACTCAAGTCCCATTATTTAAACAAGACATAAAATCTGCCACAGTATTTCTTGATATATTATTTAAAGCTTTTTTCCTGGACATTGATACATACTCTTTGTACAGTACCTCACATTTGCCACTGGATCATGTGTAAGTTCAAGGACAGGTAGAAAGAAGTATTTACAGAAGAATGATTTTGAAAACAGTTCCATAATGAATTCACAAGTATCTAAAAAACGAAGTCTGTTCCAGTAACTTTTTCCTTGGCCCAGTTCTGGAAAAGAACAATCCACAGACATTAAGTATTCAAGGTCAGATAGAAAATGTTCCAAACGTTAACCTTTGGCTCAAAGATGATAATCACACTCATCACAAGGCACACCATCTCAGTCTATATCAGAAAATGCAAAAAATAGAAAGTGAACTATCTACTGTGTTGAACAAAGCCCTGAATGCCTTTCAAACCATGTCACAGGTGTATCAAAATTACTGTGTAAACATTAAGTATTGCTAATGGGAACTATTAAAACTTCTAATCTATCTTTAAAACACATAGCATAGACCAGAAAGTCAACTTACGTGACAAACTCACTCATAAATAAATTTCTGAGAAGCTTTATTCAGCACTTCTTATGCTCGAAGCCTCTGGAGAATTTTACTTCTATACAGGAACTCTGCTTTGTATATTGCAGCACCTACAGCTAAGCAATTTTGGATTCAAAAAGTAGGGTTGGAGAGTCTTGGCATATTATCAGTTTCCCATATTGCCTCTTCACTAATTCCTTTGCATAAGCTTTAGATATATTCCTTGCATACACACAATATGTTTCGCCTGGTGATAATATGAGCAACTGAATGTCATCCAAGTGTAATCCCTCCAGTGATGGCAGAAAGTTACACTGAATAAATATAACCATAAATATATCTTCAGTCAAAACTAACTTGCATCTTTAAGTAATCAAGGAAAAATTATCTTACGTTCAATCAGCTTCTGAATAACCTCATGCCTCTGTTCTTGTTTGCGATTATAACGCAAATAAACACAGAGAGTTCGAGCAGCTGCTTTTTGGACGGGCAGGACATTCTTGAAAGAAATAATGGGAACACAATTAAACATACCTGAAGGACTATGACTAAAAATGTATAAAAATTCTAGAAGCAGAAAAAAATAGCTAAAAATTAGCCTAACTTTATAAATTTTGAAATAATTGGCATAATGTAAGGGAGAAAAAGAACATTTGGTCAATTCATGAGACACCTACTTCTTTATCCCTTCTAACTTGTTTATTCAACCATTTCATAAACACCTTAAAGTATTCAATGTTTGGAAGGCATCTTCTATATTGCAGGTGTTAGAAAATGGAACTTATAACATCTTCTCTTAGAACAGAGTTTTACTCTTGAATTAATTCATTAAAATTTCAGACTAGTAGCTCTAAATGATCATTCATTTTCAGAATAAAGTGGTCTTCCATAAAGAATGGAACACAATGCAAAGTACTGTATGGAATCAAGAAAAATTAGGCCTCTCTCAGAAGAAAAAGTTTTAATTTACCTAGAAACAAACTGATAGTGAGCACAAGGAAAAGAAAGACATCTTGAGTGGGAGGAAAAACATGACATTCTGTCAATCCAAATTTTGCTCCTCAAATGGGGTGGAGTTGTCAGAGCAATTTCTCAGTCTTATATAAAAAAACCCACAGCTTGATATACCACATGAAAGGAGAAATAGTACTTTAAGATTAATATAATATATGAAGTACTACACATAGGAAATACCTGGTGGTCATTGTTCTAAATAGCATAAACAAATAAAAGACAATGTGAAAAAGACAGGTGGGCTCACATTTGTCAAAATGATTGTCAACATTCTGTGAAGAAAACGGTAATAAATCTGATCACTTGATATGATATGAGGAAGACACGCATATTTTTGTAGTAACTTCTCATGAGTTCTCCACTTTAAAGAAGTTGCTGCTCTCTGTTCTGCTGTTGTTAATGCAGGAATCAAGTCAGGAATAGACAATAACTAGAAATAAAAATATAAATATTAAAATATTTATAAAATAACTGTATGTCCTATTACTATGGTTAAAAAGTACATCACAACAAAGAAGAAGGGAACAGATTCTGAGCGGTCAAAGAATTCCTCTCCTCAGACAGGATCAGATACACTGTGACCATTTCCAGTAGATACTAGTCTAAATTGTTCTTTAAAAAAATTAATGATTGTGTTTAAACAATCTCCCCTAAGTAGTAAATTCCACTTAACTAGTCAAAAAGCTATTCCAGTATCTAAATACACTTTCATTTCCAGCCCCTCCTCCTGACACAGAAAAACTAATAACTGTTCTCTTTGTAATACCCTTCTACAGTTATAAAGGCCATTACAACAACCCTCCTCAGTCTTCTCTTTCTCAAAACAAATAAATGCCATTTTCCTTCTAGCCTCTTAATCTTTGCAGTTATTCTTCTCAGCTCCCTAATTAATTTTAGTAGGAACTATACACATTTTCTCAGTAGGAGGCAAAGACTTTATAGTAGCCAAGCTAAATTCTCTTTAGCCCTAAGCAAAATGAAACAGACTACCATACTTGACATTGCACTTGTTATATGCTATATACATCTACAGCTGTAAACGTCTAACAAATCAACATCTTAAATTACACTCTCAACTTTTGTCCATACAAGAAAATAAATTTATTCAGTTCATATATTGTTGGAATATCTCAATCTCTATATACATTTAGGAAGTATGCCCAAAACTCGATCTTGAAGCAGGAGATGATCTTTTATGTTCCATTTTACAGGTGAGGAGTCACTGAATAAACCATCATCCAGAGCCACACAATTAGATTAGCAAAGTTGAAAGCTGAATACAGATCTCCTAAATCCTAACTCAATGCCTTTACTTCAGGAAATAGGCTTCCTTCTAGCAGAAACTGTGTCTGAAAATGGCATCCATGGGCAGTTGCCACATCAATATAGAAAAAAAAAAGTAATAGTTATCACTCCTTTTCACTCCTTTAGCATGAAAACAAGGTTATTTTAGATTAAATTTTGAAATACAATCATTAAGTTATTTCAGCAAATATGTGGTTAATTAGAAAAAGAATATGCATAAACTGTTCATTTTTAAATTGTATAATTTTTCAAAACCTTTTTTTTTTTAATTTTAAATTTTATAAAGTTAACAAACAACAAAAAAACCACAGAAGCTTTACATCTCTCCAAAGCAGAAAGTAATCATGAAAGCGTTTTCATACAATATATGTTTGAACAACTTTGCTACTACTTTCTTTTAGAAAGCAAATTAAAAAACATGGTAATACCCACCTTGCTTTCTGATCCACTGTTTTCTCCTCCATTAGTCATTAGTTCAAGGATTTCAGGAAGGTGACCTACCAGGGCATCTAACACCTATTTAAAGAAAGGCTGCATGAATGAAGTCTGTAAATTAACCTGACTCAATTTTTATCTCTCACCAACATATCCCTGCTGACATCTCTTATGTTACTATTCTCTCACATCCATATTAAAAAAAAAAAAAAAAAAAGAAGAGAATGAGATGCAACGTATTTGCATTGATGAGGACTCTGATTTAAAATTGATGTTTTAATTTACTAATATAAGTATTACAGGTTTCAGTTTAGAAAAACAAACTATAGTTCTGATTTATGTGAAGATCACAGTCAATGTTTTCTAAACTATTCACAGCATACAACATTTTAAAATGAATACTCACTCTTAAGAAAGATTTATATTTCATAGAGGGTTAGAGCAAAAGCTTCGACAAACTTAAAAAAAAACGTTTTTCTTATATTTGACAACTGAATCTTAAAAGCAATTTTTCCTGCCTTCATAAAAACCTGCAGTTGATAAATTAAAATAGAATACATAGCCTATATTAATAGAATAACCCGACTTTCAAATGTTGTAATACTTGAAACTAGAATAGAATAATAATTAAATATTTTTTGGCATCAATTCTGACCAAGGTGGTACACAAGATAAAGCACTTTATTATTATTATTATTTAGATAACTGTACAGGGCTCAAAGCAAGGAATTTTTCAAAATCACCAGCTGCTTCTGAGTCTCAACTTTCAGGTGTTCAACTTGATAAATCTTTTAAGATGGGTCAGAATTTCATAAACTATAAGTAGATGTTCTATGAACACTTTTAGTTTCCTTGAAAATATCTAACAGTGTACCAAAACAAAAAGGAGCACCTGAAAGCAAAACTCATTTCTCCATGCCCTATCCAAAGATCCTACATAGAAAATAGAAAAGATCAACTATTGGAACAACTGGTATCAGAGGAAATGGTGATTTTTTGTCTCAAACAGAAGTATTTGTCTTTTTTTCAACACAAAAATTCTCCCTATATTATCTGTAACATAGCTAAGTGATTCACGTTTTATACAGATTGAAACTGAGGTATACTAAACTAAACTGTCTCATACACACTCACAGATTCTGTACCAGATCTTGGACTGAAACTCTTTCTATATTTCTTCATCTTTGAACTATACACAACTTCATCTCCTCTTTAATTGGAGAAATCAAAACAAAACACTATCAATGATTATTTTAATATAGTACCAAAACCAAATCTTTCCATAGAATTTGTTAGGTAATAAATAATATAGCAATTAAAACAACTTAGAATGAATATTTTTAAAAGCTAATAAATTCAGTGTGGGTTTACTAAATTCAAACACCTTCCTATTTTCCTCTTTTTATTCACAGAAGGCTGGCATCTTTATAAAGCATCTGTGAAACAGAAGTAAAAGCTGTTGATCATTTCAAACAGTTACTCTACTGTCTTATTGCAGAGTTAGTAAACATCAAGATAATCTGCCTCAATACAACAAGCAAAAGAAAGCTCCAATAAAAGTACATTACCTCCAGCGACTCATCCTGCAGTAGTGTAACCAGTTCTTTATGTATTGTATAGACACCAGAATTTAAAAGCTTAGCAACCTAAAAAATGACAGTAAGATAGCAAGGTGAAACATTCTTTAGTTCCATGGCGCTACATGGCACTACAACTATACTACATGCTCTTACTTTACAGCAAGTATGAAGAAGGGATGCAGAACAATTGTTTAATATCAGCTTTCTAAAGTTATGTACTTTCCCAACAATCACATTAAAAATATGCTTACATATAGAATATGAGTCAAGAAACGGGCCTACTATCTAACCATGATACATGTTTTTAGAATTAAATCTATTTCATGTTTACCAAAAATTTTTGAGACTGCACCGCAAGGTTAGAAAAATTCCTTCTGGAATACTCAAACGTTGTACTTCATGCTCCTTAAGAGAGTTAACAGTCAGAGTGCTATATAACGTACGGAAGATAAAATATAACAATTGGCTTAGCCTACCCTGGATTTTAATTTCTTTTAAAAAAAATAATCCACCTAGCAGTGAATGCCATAAATTACTCATTTTTGGTTGTCATGTGGTTACCTAGTTATGGTGTTAAAATTAAATCAACCAGCACTAAATGTACATTCAGACCAAGGTTTCACAGGTTTTTTTAAATGAGCTAAAATACTTTGCTTATATCCAGGCAGCACCTTAAAAGTGTTATACATTTAATGCAAAATATTACGTAGCATTAGATGCTAATTTTACAATTTCAGCAATTACCACGGAATATCATTAAGACAAGGCATCAATAGGTAAATGAGAACTGGAAATATGTACATCTTTCTTATAAGGATGGAAATAAAGCCATTTGTGCTTCTACTAGTGATTCAAATGCTTTCAGCAAGCTGCTTAACTTACCAATTTCCCCAGCAACAACATGAGATAAAAGGCTAGCTTGAGGACCGAAACACGAGGATTCTCAGTAAACCACTATGACAACCTTGAAGATGTCACTATATGGGTTATTACAATCAGGAGATAGTGTATTTTCATTTCTGAAATTCACCCCATACAGCTAATAGTATCTATGCAGTTGTACATTTTGTAACTTTTATGAAAATAATACAGTGGAACTTATGTAAACTGAATGGAATAATAATACATATGCTTTTACATCTGCATAAATTTCCAAGTAGTTTTGTATTAAATTGAGCATTTAACTTAGATTTGATCCATATGAATATTCTCCACAGAATACCAGCTTACACCAGCAAACTGCACAGTTCTAAAGAAGGTTTTCAGGACCAGAAGTGGCGAATTCCTTTCTCCTGTTTGTCTTGTTATTTTCTAAAGCATTGAAAACCTTCAAATACTGTACTTACCACAATTGCTTGTGTTTACGGTACTAGACCATTATAAGTTTCTTCTAGCTTTTGCTCCTTAAAAGCTCTCCTAGCAGCAGGCTCTTGTAGCCAAATGTCACACAACTTAGACTAAGGTGTGTATATGGGCTATATATAGATGTTAGAAGGGACTGAACACCTTTGACAAACTACATCATTTCATCAAGTTTTCTCAAGTCCTTTTGTTTTGGTTGAACAGTCAGAAACGTAAGCTTGAAGAAAACAACATAAAATAAAAGCATCTAAGTACTAACAAAGAACCATTGTAGACTCACTTCATAGAAGCTTATGGCCATAGTGTATCTGACGGGAACTTCAGGGTCATGACAAAGGCAGAAGAATATAGAATATAGTTCTAAATGGAAGTTCTTTGGATCCACAAAAACAATCATGGCCTGAGGAAAGATAAAGTATTTTACTAACTGTATAGCTAAAGGACTACACTATCAAAGATTATCAGATGAAAACACTGAGTTACGGCCAGCAAGACTTCGGAGGTAACAGGTTGTGATCTTAAAGAAGTGTGGCATTTTTGATGGCTGTGTCAAAATACAGACACCAGACAAATTCTGGAGTTGAGAACTAAACTGGATTTACATATCTTCCAGATATGCCACAGGCTTTTTTTCTGAAGACATGGATTAAAACCACAAGATACAAACCCTTAGTTTTATAAATATTGTTAGTGTTTCCACACATTAGCGGAAGCTGCAAATGGAGACTTCAAAAACAAAGAACATTTTAGCAAGTAGCAAAGCAAGCATCTGAATTTCAACATAATTATGTGTGTACATACCTCGTTTTTGCTCAAATAAACCAACAGATGTCTACCTACATACAGGGTGTTTGTCTTTAAAAGGTAGAATAAAAATAACTAGCTACTGGTTCTTGGTACAAACATATTTTCTTTAAATATAAATGCAGAATGTCAAAATACAAAGTAGATTTACAGAAACATGAGAGGTAAGTTTAAAGACCTCAAATAATCTTAAAAAGACTTTCTGTATTCAGGCAGGAACACGACTAAAACATGAATGTAACCATTCGTATTCAATCTTCAACTCCCTAGAATGCCACGACACACAGCAAATGTGAAAAACCAGCTTTGAGTGGTCTGAAAATGCAGACCCTGTTTCACAGCTATTTTCTCAAAGCCATTGTGCTACGGTTTTGGAGAAAATATTTAGGAAAGAATGAGACCAGTAACCTCTTAGAACTGCACTCTCTCAGTCAAAACTTGCCTATAATTTTCTGAGGCTCTGCAAAGAGGAGACTTTCCTGGTAACTCTTTTGGACAACCTCTAATTTAACACATTAACTTGAATTTTACAGGAGAGAGATAGAATCTAGCTAACAATGTACAATTTGAGAATAACTTCTGTATCACTCATGCAGTCCTATTTAGTCAACTATATGCACGACACAAATTACTTCTTAAATTAACATTACTTACTGGAAAATTGTAAGCACAGTTCTTCCTCACTGAAACATACTTCTTTTCCTGTTCCAGAGTTTGAAGTTGCAGTTGATTATCATTGTGTCCATTTTCCTGCTGTAAACCCAGTGTGGAAAGTTTCTTATAAAATTCCAAAAACCGTAAGTGCTGTTCAGGAGTAAAAATGCCTCCAAAAAAAAAAAAGTTTACTTTCCTCATTACAAACGCTATTAATAATGACCCAAAACAAATCTCTTTTACAAATCTATCAAATACATCCATTTTTATCCCTCCTCCCCCCACCTTAAGTCTAGCAGAGTATCATCAGTACACATTACAGAGAAAAAGTGATTAGAGAAAAATAACTGCTAACTATAACAGAGTGAATTGTAATTTCTGTTTACATAATTCTTGAAATACTGGTTTCTTCTTGATTAATTTTTTAAATCTTTATGGAACTCAGTCACATGAAGAATGCATGCCTGCAGAAAGATGAGAAATTAGGTCATGTTGCTAAAGAGGAATGGGAATAAAATTAGAAAACTCAGAACAAATTGGAATGCAACTAGCAAGATGACTTCAAATATTACAAGTGATTTTATAAGTACGTTAGTAATAAGAGAACAATCAAGGAAAGGCTCAGTTTTCTACTCAAGAGAGAAAAGCTATCAGTGATTGGTAACCAAGAAAGCTGAAATGCCTAATGCTTTTATTTCCTTTCTCAAATTCCACTAGTATCACCAGGCTCAGTACAATTAATAACTGTGACAAAGATTCAAAGCTTTAAGTAGAGAAGGAACAAGTCAGCAAATAGTTAAACATGACAGGTTTCAAAATGTGCAGGGTCAGGTGTGCTTCATTCCAGTACTCAAAAGTATTTAAAGTACTAGCTGCTTAAATCTTAAATAAGTGAGCTATCAGAATGGAAAAGGGCTGAAGTGGTACTGATATTTAATAGCTGGAGAGGGGAAGGATAAGACATATAATTACAGATCAGTCAGATTACTTTCACAATTTGAAAAAATTGGAAGAAAAAAAATCTACTTGTAAATACTGAAAAGAAAACAAGCAAATGAGTAGCAGCCAACATGGCAAAAGCAAAACTTATCAAACTGATTCAATTTCCTTCTAGTACTGGATAAAAGGGCCTGGGAATAAAAAAAGAGGCAGTAAAGGTCATGTTTTTCACAAGCAATATCAGAGATCAGGAAAGAGATGAAAAAAAATTATAAAGGTCCTGCAAAACTGTTGGAAAAACAGTTAAGAGAAAGTTACCCATGGTTCACTGACAAGATAGGCAACCGTATAAATAAAGGTCTATCCTCGTTCTGGTACTATTCAGTATTTTCATTGGTTTTTTGGATGTTGGATTAGAGACTTTGCTATTCAATATCCTGATAACACTAGCCTAGGAGGCAGACTGCTTATCCTTCAGAAGACAGAGTTTAAAATGATCCTGAGAAACTGGACATACAGTCTTAAAATTTTAGACTGTTATTCCACTAGGACAGAGGTAAGGTACCATACTTAGCCATATCTGCATCACCACAAAGCCAAGAAAGAGAAAGGCTAACTAGCTGTCAGATTTATAAAAAAAAAAAAATAATAAAGAAGGCTTCATAGGCTGTACTTGAACAAATAATGGCAAACTATTGCAAACTGTTGCAAAAAAAAAAAAAAAAACCAAACCACAAAAAAACGGTAATTTTTCATTCTGAAAAACAATTGTAAACAGCAATATAGCTTGCAAGACACATGAAGTAACCCCTTCACTTTGTTCAGCTCTCCAAAAGCATAACACTTCATGAAAAATATGAACTTGCCAGACAGTTCAGAGGTGAAGAGAGATCAGCAATTAAGTCATTCAATCTAGAGAAAAGATGACTGGGAAGACATGATAAAAAAAGAATGGACTCTCCTAGCTCTGTGTTTCCATAAATAACATTTTGACACTGTAGAACAGCCCTTTCAAGTTTTTTGTAGTGAAGCAATGGTCACTTTGATAATATCTAACGTGATCACGAAGAACCATTTTAAAGATCTGTAAGAAAGATCGAAGGGTTGAAGAGTCCAGGGGGTAATCCTCTATAATGTAAAATCACGATTCTGTGCTGTCCCTCTTCAGGTAAGCTCTGTGTAGAGGGTAGATGGTGAGCAAAACGATCAAGGAAAGATCTGCTGTGCTCAAGTGAAAATCACAAGAATTATGGGTACAGAATTGGCCTCAGCAGCAGCTGGAAATCCACATGCCATTACGCCTCCTTCTCCCCTGAAGTTCCTTATGGGCCACACTGTACTGTGCCTCACAAAGGATATCAAGCACAAAAGTGAACATACACAGTTAACATCATAGTGTGTTTTCAAAGGCGTCTAATTTCAAAACTTCAGTCATCCACCTCACAGAATATCCAAGAAGAAATCAAAGTGAATCAGTCAAACCAACTTTGATTCCACCTCTGACCCTGTCTAAAGAAAAAATTCTGTCCCTGTTTAAACATAACAAACCTAACAAACAGAGGGACATCCAAAGAAGGAATTCACAGAATCCAATATTTATGCAATAGATGATTTCAAAGAGTTACTTCCATATTTCCTTTCCTAACTACCATTTCATTTGATACATTCAATCTGGATATTTTCCAAGGGCTTCAAATTCTCCAATCTTCCCTCATTTTTAAGATTTTATTTTTTTAAAAGACATTAAATCATACCATATAATCCATTACACAGTTTCCCTAAATGGAAAGATAAAGAAACTAGGATAGATTCATCTGCTTTGAAGGATTTTTCACAGAATGATTTCACTAAGGGGAGCACGGTTTGACTCCTATCATCTGAAAAACAAAAGAGATTTTTAAAGTTAGGCATTTGTCAACATCTAAAAAAAAAAAAAAAAAAACAACCACCACCAGAGAGAGTGGACTTCCATAATAACCTATAAAAAATCTCATTTAACATGATCAGGACTATTTTCGACAGGCACCCGCTAGAGGTAGAAAACAAAAGGTATAGAGAATAATGAACATACTACCATAACACAGGTCCTAAATTTTAATACTTTAACTGTTTTGCTAGTCTTTAGGGAAAAGGCATCCCCCAGCAACCAATGAGACAGAGAATAAATGAACAGTCACTAACTTCTCCATTCACTAAGAATACAGGGAGAAAAACAATACTGCAGTGCTCCTACAATAAGATTTCCTACAATAGTAGGTATACAGGGAAAATCAAGACCAAACATGACCATGACAGTAAAAAGAAAAATCTGGATATGCTGGAAGTGAATTTTTTCAAACTACTGAGAAGAGGAGGTTGAAAATCTTTTAGTAAACAATAAATGCACAGAGAAACAAAATAATTATGGGCAGAGGAAAGAAATTAAATCATTTAAAAATTCAAGTCAAATCCAAGGACTCTGCCTCCTTATAAAATAAAGGAATAAATGTTCAAAGAAATTTATTGAGCTTTGACTTGTTTAAAATAAAACTATTTAATTTTAAAACGTTCAAGTTTTAAAGGGATTAGGATTTTTTAATAGTAGACCAACACCAAAACTCAGCAAGTAATTATGGCTGACCAAAATATTTAGGTTGACCTGAAGAAATATTTTCATATTGTGGGAAAGAAACCCTAGGATAGAATTTTGGGTCATCTACCTTCAAAACGTTCATTTTCTAGTTCACCCACAAAACCAAGAACTACAGAAACCAAACTGCTAGAAATACATTCCTTATAAACCTGTAAATAACCCTTGATTGCTTTCTCTAAGCTTTTTTCAATAGCTAAAATAGTTACAGCAATGGGGGATGGGGGGTGGAGGGAGGAGTGAAGACTGGGATGTGCACAGAGTAGCACATACTTGATAGCATCAATGCAAAGGCTCAATGATTTGAAAACATACTATCATACTTACTGATAGAAGCACTAACTGCATTTATGGTATTCTCTCCAAAACGATCTTATTTCTTTATGTAGTCCTCCATATGGCTTATATGCAACCATGCATTTTACTAATTCATCACCAAGTTCCTGTATAGTAAATATTTGCTCCTCACTTATGTATCAGGAAGGAGTAATAGAGTCAATAAGATGGGAGTGGGCAATGTGGTGCAAAATACAGAGTTGCTAATGAATATAAACAACTGAAGAGTTTGGAAAAAGACAGTGTAAAGAGCAAAGTGGCAAACAATGAACAGTGATCAACAATATAGACTTTTTTTTCATATACACTATAGCAATAATCTATCACATACTTTGCTGCTTTGTACACTTCCAGTTGTAAAAAAAAAAAAAACAAAAACAAAATAAACCTACCACCAAACAAAAAAAAAATAATAGAGAGCACAATTGATACAGAGCCAGAAAAGCTGGCTGTTATTGTCTTCTACATCCCCCTGAAAAAATCTAGACAGAGCATTTGGTTGACTGGAGGACAAGGCACAGAAGTTGCCCAGAACGTTCCCCTATACTGGAGCAGTCACAGTAGCTCTCCTTAAAGTTTACCTCAATCAATGTTGAATTGAACTTTCAATGAGAATCTGAGAGCCATGCATGTAGGTAATCCACCACTACTATACCAAAAGTGAAGATAAAGAGATAAGATAAAGATAAGAGATAAAGAACAGAGAATTTCTCCTTCCTCACATGACGACACAGACACTCATCCCTACACCCAGAGAAGCATGAAATATGCATGTTGATCAGAGGAAAGATAGAGAGCACTAAGAGAAAACACAAGCACTTACATTTTCTGTTTTAAACACAGAAAAGCTTTCTAAAATACACTTTCTCATTGCAAAGAAGGAAGCTTTCAGTGCCATGTATCCACAAGTTTAAAGGGATTTAAATAGTAATTACTGATGCTTCGTACCTCTGATCAATTGTGCTCACTGCAGTTTATGGGACTTGAAGAAATATTTTCTGTTCCAAAATTTACAAATGTATTTGACATATAACACTGGGTGTTAAAACCTGCAAGTTTTACTGATACACAGATATCATATCATTGCCCTAGTCTGGGTCCTTCAACTCAGAAGGCAGGCTGCAGTCTGTAGTTAGGACTGGCTTTACTTCAGTTAAGAGGCAAAACCTAGTTAACAGCAAAAAAAAGCACTATCAATAGCAACTGTTGAGCTAACACTTTGTATTCTGTGTATTGATAGCATTAAATAAATACTAAGAACTCAATATTCCTATCATTTATACAATAATTTTACACATTCCATTTAGCCTCATTACATTAGAAACTTAGATTATGATAACTGATTTTGTGGACAACTGGCTCATCTTACTTAAAAGTTACTACGTATAAAGCACTGCAAGTCATGAAATGCATAAAGGATAAAACAACAAATAAAATCAGAAATGTCTGAAGAATGCAGACAGAACAAAAAGCATTTAAATCACCTATAAAATACGTTAAAGCATTAAGAACTGGGCTAGTAAGCCTAAATTAAATTCTTACCTGCATCAAACATATCAAGCAGATTCACTAATGTCTCAAAAGCTGCAAGGCGTACACTACTGCCCTCATCTCTTGCCAGTTCTACTAATTCAGGAAGCACCACAGTTTTTGTTAGTTCTGTCCTGCAAAGTGAGGCAAGCAGTCAAGAGAAAATACATAATGAAAGAAATATTGCTACAGCAAAATGGAATTCTTCCTTGAAAGAGTCATTTAGACATTCTTTGGGTGGCCAAGAATGAAAAATTGACAAAGTTGTAGAAAACAAAAATTAAATAAAAACCTCCAGTCAATCTCAGGTCTTTTCTTCTTTGTCAGCCAAAGAAACATGCAAGTTTAAAACGTGAACCTTCTCACTAAAAAAAGCATTCAAATTAGCTCAAAATAAATCAGAGAAAATGCAGTCTGAAAAAAACCCAAAGGAGTCCAGCTACTTCCCTGTGTTACTAAGAAAACTCTTCTGACCAAATACGCAGAAACTGCTCAACGCAATCATTCAAAGCCAAAATGATTAAATATAAGGTATGTTGGATTAAAGTGTCTGGAAATCTTACACTTCAAAGATGAGCCTTCTTTACAGAGGGTAGGCAGCTACAGCTCAGAGAAAACATAGTTTCCCAACTAGTCCAAACACTAGCTTTTAGGCTTGTTTTAAAGTAGTAAAGAAAGGGTTCTGCTTGTCTCTTCTTGCCTTGGTGATTACTAGCACTGTCTGTGTGATGGCCCTGACAACTTGAATTTATACATTGGCAGCAGATTGCTGTATTAGGGACTGACTTTGAAATCAGAGTTTAATCAGAGAGGTGACTAAGGAGGATTTAAATACTCTTGACACAGAAACATTTGTGCAGTAATGTGGCTGGCATAAGTAAGATAAAAAGAGATTTGCTTCTTGGAGCTTCTGTAGAAGCTACCAACCAGCATAATTTCCCATGTCCCAGTGTATATCTGATTCCTGATTGCTTTAAGAAATCAGAAAGAACCTTTCTGCAGCCCTACTATCCACAAGAACAGGGAAGACATACCCAGTATTTCCATCTTTTCTTTTTCTGTCATGGTCATTTTTTAGTTATAGTAGCCAAGATTTCTACTGTTTGAATTTGTCTGCATTTGAGTTAAGAAGCCCGTTTTGTCTTGTTCTCATGTATGAGCTCTTGGTCTGCTTGACAATTAGTGAAAGCTGTTTTAAGCACCACGTTTCAAGAATGGGACCTTAGCAGTTTATAGTAACCAGAGATCTGGCCCTCAATGTTTATACTGCCCAAAACATAAAACTGCAGGGAAACACTCTGGTAAAAGCACTCTACATGAACATTAATCAAGATGAAAAAATCAAAACTATGTTCAACACTTTGAGCAACTATGTCTAAAGAGTTTAGACTCTGCCATTTCAATCACTTCTTAATACAGAACTGTTGACAACCTCCAGGATGACAGACTTTTATTTATATAAAAATGCCCAAAAATACCCCTTCCAATCAGGCTAAACAACTAACAGCTGTCCCTTTTGTAAGTCAATATGAACAACAAGACTTTCACAAGTTTATAATCAGCATCAAAGTTATTTGCACCTTAGAGTTTATTACTGTTACCAGCAAACCAAGATGTAGCTTAACAGTATTATGAGAATACGAGAAATTAGGAGAAAATGACACGATATCATTTAGTACTAACATCATTAAAAAGTAAAAATAAACATTGGGACTCTTGTCACATTATGCCTTCAATATTTACCTAAAAATGTGTTCATTTCTCTTTAGTTAATTGTCTTTATTTTCCTACTACCTATTAATCCTCAACATGAAACACTGCAATAGTTTAGATACCAAAAACACTGACAGCTCACCATTTGTTATGAGATTAAAGCATCTAAATCATCGGGAAGGGACTAGACAAAAATCTGAGAGAGAGAGCGCGGTGATACGGATACCTAAATGCTAAAATAAACATTGGGGTGGAAAAGAAAGAAAAATATACAGAACAGACCACTAATTGATAACTATGTATTTAGCCCTACTAAAAACCAGTATTCTAAGTCTGGGTAAAGGGCTAGTAATACTGTCATTTGCCACTGCATAACACCTATCTTGTTTTAAGACTTTCAGCTTGCAGTATAAATACATTCAATTTAGTTAACAAACAAAACTGCTGAAAGCAGATTCACACAAACTGTGAGTGCTCCTAAAAGCTACCACTAAAACTGTTTCTTGGTTGTCAATAGACTGAGTCACAGAGCAAGGCAATCTGTGTAGCTGTGCATTTTTAAAACACAAAAAATGTTTCCAGTTATATCCAAAAGGAATATTTCTTTAACTATACATACAACCTAGATAAGAGTTATTTACTCAGCATAACATAGTTACATTATATTTAAAAATTATTTTGCTGTATTATGTGTCACAAATAATTTTCAAAGCCAAATTCATATGACTGCTTCTCAGCTTTTGACTATAGCAGAGGTTAACTGAAAAAGTTAGAGGAAACCACGGAAATGCAGACTGTATCTCAAGACATCAAAAAAAAATCTCTTGGGATTGAGCAATAACAAATGAGAAAGGACGAAGGAAGGAGATTGGGATGTACAAGAACATATGGCCTAGGAATGGTCAGGGTAGCAAAGGATAGGACTGCATCCTAAAATCAAACCCCAGAAATTGGGGTGCAAAAAAGAAAAAAAAAAAAAAAAAAAAAAAAAGAAACGCTTTTGAAACATGTTTCTGTGGTTTTCTGCTTTGGTGGCATCAAAAAACTTCAAACTAATATGACAGTTAGAACTGTCCCTCCATTCAAAACTCAGCAGGTATGGGGAAAAAAAAACAACCTGCTCACTCTCTGAAGATAAACAGAACACTCTTTTTCACTCATCTTTAATTCCATTAAACAGAATTCAATTTTAAGGTACATAAAGATACACGAGATATGTGCATACAGCAAAAATAAACACAAGCTCAGATTATTCAGTAATTCAGTTTAGTAAAATGTTGTTAAATTTTCAGTTTTACAAATATCAACAATATCAACTCCTTTCTTTTCTGTAGTTAAACATTCTTTTAAAACCAAATCCATTAAATATGGAAAATGTTAAAATGATTTACTGTGCTAATATACATTTTGTTATAAAATAAAGTAAGTTCAAAGACAAATTAATAACTTTACTAAGATGGGTAATACTGTGTTTTCATGTTATTCACATCCTCTGAACTTCTGCAGGACAAGGACCTTGCAGAAGAGCTGCCTAAAGCACATATATAAAATTCTTTTGTATGCAATAATGACAAGTTTATCTAGGAATCTAGAAATTAATACCCTGCATGACCTTACCAAAACAAAGTTAAATCAAGTACATGGCAGTAACAGTTAGTTCTTGACGTGAATATTCATTCCCTATATCTCACTAAGCTAAAACACTGCCTGAACATCAACTTTTCCAGTATTCCATGGCTGAGAAGCACATCGCATTGTTTCAGGAATTTCTGGTGTTTTCTTTTTGTTTGTTTTTTAAATAACTCAGAATTTAAACCATAACATAATTCTCCATTAAAAAAAAAAAAATCATTCCGCAGCTACAGGAAGGCATCTTTTCCACAAACACCACTACTAACAAACTGAAGTGCATATTTACCATATCCTTCAAATTACATTTCAGTTTCAGCCTCATCCTTGAATTTGCTCACAAATTCACAATTTTAAAGGCCAGAGGGACTCTTAAGATCGAATTTATCCTCATTGTGTAACACAGGGCAGGGAACCTTACTTGATAATTTCTTCAAGTCTGTAAGAGAATCTACTGCTTTATTTTTTCTTCCTGACACAGTAACAGATGGAATATTTCTTCTCTTGGAGACCAGTCCTGTATGGATAGTTAGCATACTCTGTTTATTAAAATAGAAGTTTCAGACTTTTTCTATCCCTGTATGTGCAATAATGAAGATCTTCAAGTTTAGAGTAAAAGTTCATACTGAACTGAAATTTCCTTACAAAACACTTTTAACATCCTTTTGCAAAAAAAGTGCACAGTAATTATTAGAAACTACTAGTACTTGCCATAATCCTCTTTCCTTTTTAAGAAAGCCTAATGATATCAATGGATAATTGAAATTACTTCAGGAAGCTATATGAACTCATTGTTTACAAAAACATGTTGTTTGTATGATTCAGCAAATTTACTATCATAAAGAAGCAAAAATCTGAGAAAGGAAAAGAGCTAGGTGCCAAGAGCCAATTCCTAAGAACACATCTGTACACTCCAAATTAATTACTGAGCACACACGAATTAAGTTAGAAATCATAAAAGGATTTTTTAGGTTACCATTAAATATTTTAGAGAAAGATTTCGCATTTAGAAGCAGTTACGCAAATTGTACTCACCCTATTCCTTGAGCTATATGTTCCAGTTGCCGACACATGCAAGTTCTCACTTCATACTCCACATCTTGACACAGTGATTTTACCAGAGGAAGAATCTCTCTTTTAATACTAAAAATGTGAATTTTTTAATTAATATACAGAACAAGAATATATAAAATCCACTCTGTAGCACTGAAATTTTACCCATATATTACTTCTACTGGCCATTTTTTTAAAACTAATTTATCACACATGGCAAATGATTTTTCTGAAAATCTGCAATTATAAAAAAAATACTATACGTCAGACACAAATATGTGCTATAAAGAAAAAGAAAAAGGATTATTTATAGTCATAATTTGCTCATATTTCATCTATTATTTTAACTACAAAAATAGTAGGTAGGCTTGGAGATGCTGTGCTGATTTAATAACCATCTTCAGTACCATTTTTGAACAGCAGCTATAAGAATACAAAGAATTACATAAATGGAAGTGCAAATCCCAATTAATTGTCTCTAATACCTCATCTATGGTATGCATGTAGCACCAAAGAAGAATCTGGGAAGAAAGTAGAAAAAGAATTTAAGACTAAAGGCTTCAGCACTGCAATGCCTTAATGCAAGTAGACCCAAGTATTCATGTTAAATGGCAGATACAAAATAACTATTTTGAATTCTGTTTAAGTAAAAGCACATACTACAACTTGGCAGAACCAGCCATTGTGTTTCCTTTCACTGCCCAAAATGCAGTCATGAGTATTCATAAAATATCTCTATCCAAATCCTTATGTTGTTGCAAAACTCAGAAGAAATAATATGAAGCCACAGATAAGCAAATTTTCAAGACAGCTTGCACAGCCTCCACTCATCCTAGTGAAAATGAATTTACTTCCTACAGCAAAGTTTGTCCTCAAATTTCAAAAATTGTACAAAGTCTTGGGAGTTTGGCATTTTAGAATACTCTGAAGTAGGGACTACTTCCAAAAAAGACTTGTTTTTCACTAGCTGTTGGAACAGAGAGTAGAAAAACTAATGTTCTATTCCAAGGTTGGGACATTTTCAATACTCTATAAAATAACCTGGGAGTCATGTGGAAAATTAAAGAAAGATTTTTTACTTATACTATAAATTTTCTGAGGAAAAACAGTGCCATTCTGAAGAAGAATGTGAAGATATGCTTATACAGTGCCAGCTCCTAAGGCCAGATATGTCTCCCGAGCCTATACCAAGACCCTCCTGCAAGGGGAATGAGAGGGTGTCCTGAATCTTACTTGGCCTGCCACAGACTAAACCTGTGGATCCAGGTCTCTTTTCAGCCCTCTGAACTGCACTCAGACCCCTCTACCAGAGGATCAGTATGTCCCAGAAAATTCTCAGTCACCTTCTTAACATGTAGCTTCTGTATAGGAATGATGCTACTATCTGCTCACTGCAATGAGGTGTTTCCTATTTCTGAACAGCAAGGAATCATATTAAAGAAGGTATGATTATTTGAACTTATTATGGTTAACACTATCATAATTTCCCATGGGATTCCAAGTGATCTGGAAATTCACTTTATTTTCATGAGAACGTAATGTCAAATACATAAAAGCAATTGTCATTCTGCCAGAATTCTACAAATTCTGAAGATAAAGATTTGAAGGCTTTGGTAACAGGCTCAAAAAATTCTGCTTTACCATGCTCATTAACTTTTGCATGTCTGACAAGAGTAGTCTACATAGCAAATCAAGGCATAGATGGCTTCCTTTTGGTTGTTCCTAGTCCTTTTTTATTGAAGAAAAAAAATTGTAATTAAAAGAAGTTTACTCCTAAATGCCTTGTCATACAGTCCTGTTGTTCATCTTTTCTGTTATGCTACATTCTTGCATTTTGGGGCAGATCTAAATCATTATTAGAGTGGATTTACGCAGCTACACATGGTTTCTGTGCATTTAGTTGCCCTCAGTGGATTTCTTTTGTAATGCGAAATCACATGTAGCCAATTGCCTGGATAGGAAACACATTTGGTGAAATGGTCCTGCTATCACCAGAATGGATGAACTGTTCAAAGAATGCACCATACCAACTGTTTTGGGCAGATAAGTTATTCAGATTCACTTTCATCACTGCTTCCCTGTTCTGCACCACTGTCCAAACCCACAGACACTGAATCCAAGAGCTGGATAATATCAGGCAACAACAGGGGCTCCTGATACATCTCCATATAATCAGGGATAACAAAAAAATATATCTACATGTTAAATTTGTTTAGATAAAAAGTTAGGAACAATGACTCTTCTCTTTCTTGTCATAAACTCTAAGGTGATGAAGTTGTGTTTTGCCTCTGTAAATTGCAGAGAAATCCACTCATTGGCTTATTTCCTAGCAGGAAAAACATGGAAGAATGGCATGAAAATGGTACTCATTTGAACCTGTGGAAGGACATGCAAACTGAAGTTATAAACTGATGAACATCAGTGAGTCTGAATATGCTAGTTACATAATGAACATTTTTTTATTATTAATTAATATCCTGATAAAGGGATCCGTAAAAAGAAAGCATTTAACTTTTGCAATGAAGTCTACTTTTCTTGTAGTAATTTTTGCCCACTAACAAAGAAATACTGGTGTATGATGTGGAATGAAAATATATGTACAGTCTACTTACATATGAGCTTCAAATTTGTTAGCTAATTTTCCCATGATTTTACAACTAACTAAGCGGGACTGAAGCGTTTGAGAAAGTTGTGCTTTGGAAACAAGTGGATTCAGGATCTATGCGAAAGAAAAAAAGAAGAAATGTGAGCAGTAAATAATGTATTCCCCTTCTTAAAAAAAAAGTCTAGAAAAATATATGCCGGACGTCATCTACTCCGTTCATTAAATTAATCAGTATTAACAACAATAATAATGCCTATGTACATTAACAGTCTACTGGAAACCTGTATTTAGTATTCAGTGCTAATCACAGCACGTTAAACTCATATCTTGGCCCAAATAGCAGTTTATGATTCACATCACAGCCACAGTTTTACATCTGTCTACTTGTGTATTTTAGGACTAAGTTGTGTATGAATATTTACTGCTATTAGCTGGTAATTGTCACAGAAGTTATTAAATATGATCCTGCACAAGAAAAAAAAAATGCAGAGACAGGAAAAGAAAGCTTCTCCGAGGCTCCTTCTCACGAGTTTTCCCAGGAAACAACTTCTGATGGAAAACTTTGAGGCAACAAT